GCGATGCTGGAGACCCTGCGCGAGCGGCTGCTGAGCGTGCAGCAGGATTTCACCTCCGGGTGGGTATACGGTGGGGGGCGGAAGGGACCCGAGGGGCCGGGGTGTCTCCTCCCTCTCCTCCCCGCCCCGCGGACCCAGGCCCGGTCCCGCCTCTCCCGGCTCCGCCCCTCGGAGGAAACTAACGAACTTTCCAGCGGGCCGCTCGGGGCCGAAAGTTACTTGTGCGCCAAGCGGCTCGGTGGGACTGGCGCCCGCAAGCCGGGGGGTGGGGAGCGGAGCGCCCCGGGGTGCAGGGGACCCTGCCGGGCAGGCTCAGCCTCCGGAGGAGTGGAGTCATGTGAGAGGCCAGCGCGCCTCCCCTTTCCGCCCCCCGCGGGCCCAGTGACTCTGCACCCCTCCCCCTCGAACTCCGCAGGACTTTCCCCCTCCCCCTAAGCCCGACTCCCCTGGAGCTGAGCCCATCACCCCCTTTCGAGCCGAAGGTGCTCCTGCCGGCGGGGCCGAGCCTTCCTGGTCCTGGGTCGGCGCCCGCGCGGGGGGTCCCCTGAGAAGCCCTTGGCAAGGCTTGTCACCTTTTCGCATTTTGCTTTCTCCTACCTTTTGCCCTGGGTTTGGCACTTCCGTCAGCGAAGAAACCATCGGACCAGCAGAACAGCAGCTCCAGCATTACTCCTAAGACCTAGTGGGTCCCAAACTTTGTTGAATATTAGAAGCACCCGGGGACCATTAGCAATCCTGATGTCCAGGTTGCTTCCTCATACCAATTAAATGGATCCCGGGACACCGGTCGTTTAAAAAATCCCCAGGTGATCTCCTTGTGCAACAAAGTTAGGGAACCGCAGGCTTAGATTCTGGCCCGGCCACTTAAAGGTTACTCGACCTGCGTCTTCCTTTAGTTAAATGTCACGGTAAAAACGATGGGAATGTGAACTTATCCCCTGGGTGATTAAAAAGATCAATGAGATAAACAATGCACGCAGGAAGCAGTATATAAGTCGCCGCTATTCCTGAGTGTTCAATTAATTTGATTTTTTTTTATTGCTTTTGTAAAGGTGTCAGTTTTACAAAGGATCGACTGTCACCTTTGGATTAAAATGCTGAGACTCTCAAGGCATCTCAATCACATTATGTTTAAATTTCTGGTGGGAAAATATTAGTGAAAGTTAAAAGTTGCTGGGCAAAAATGTCTGTTTTTGTTTCTGTGTGCCACTGTGGATTCCAGCTCAGCATTTTGATGTGACAGGGTAAAACTGCTAGCCTGACATTTTTACCTGTAGCATACCGCCAGGTCCTTTCCCCTTGGGCAGTAGTGCAGCGGGTTCTCACACTCATTTTTCAGTTAGCAGAGGGCTTAACTTGCTCCCTCAGAGCTCAGGAAGGTCTATACTGTTTACCTTGTGGGTGCTGCGGGCTACCAGGCCAGCCAGTACTTGAGTGCTTACCACGAGTAATGGGTTTTGATCATTTCAATGTGTGGTAGCAATGTTAGAGGTGTGCTAAGGAGTGTCATTCATGAATGTGCTTGCATACTTGCACTTTTCCTTCCACAAATGTAGAGGGAAGAAAATGACTTGCAGAGCATAGAGGATTGTCCTGCAGAAAAGCTTTGGTAGGATTCTGGAGTGGCCCACTTGCTGTAGATGAACATGTCTGCAAATAGATCTGCTGTCATTGCTTGTAGGACTTCCTGAATGCCCCTTCTCTTTGCTTACTTGCACAAGTAAACATAACTTACCTGGGTGAATATCGTCTGTGAACCAATTGCCCAGCCCCAAACCACTTTCGGAGATGAGGAAAAAGCCCTGAAAGTGTCGGGCTTTGTTAGGGAGGGGGCTGAGAACATCTGGTTAGGACCCATTTGAAACTGACTTACTGATGTTTGCCCTAGAAAGGCCAGTTTAGGGTGAGACAACCTGAGAGCGCTTCATTGCTTTTAGGCACCTGGTCATGCCACTCTTGCTGACTAATCTCGATTGGGTACTCTGTGCCAATAGCCTGCTGCCTGGCAAAGTGAAGCCTGTCGGGCCAGGTGACTGGCTAGCCTGTCCAACCTCTGGTGTCCACTTTGTGCAGGTCCTCAGTTTCCTGTGGGATTTTTACTCAGAGTACCCTCTTGGTCCACTGAGATCACCCCCTTTTCCATGGAGTGTTTTGTATTCCTGAGAAAAGCTGAGACTAAATATGGCTCTCGTGTGCTGCTGCTGAGTGAAAGACACATGACACCTGTGTTCCCATACTGGCCAGTGGACCCCCGGGGCTTCCTCGAACACTTGGTAGCAGTACCCAGAGCCACTGGCTTTGGAAGTCATTGAAACGCCAGTGTTGGGGTTGTCCGGAGAATTGAAGAAGGTCCTGCTTGCCAGAGGACCTTAGGTGTGGCACTTGGCTGTTGACAGAAAACCAGAGCAGCTTCCTCTGAGCTTTGCTTGCTCTCAGTTCCTGAGCATTACTGGATTTTAAATGGAGACAATTTTTTCAAAAGTGAAATTGAGCTCCTTTATCGTTCTCACGGGTGAATCCCATGAGAGTAATGAAAGCGTGCTGAACAATGAATTTTTGCATTCATTCACACTTAGCAAAACTGTAGTAGTGTTAAAATCGGTGGCAAGATTGCTGGTGGTCTGAGAGAGTACTCTACGTTGTCCCTAAACTTGTGGCCTTTTAAAATAAATGCTTAAGGAGCCCTGATGATACAGTGGTTACAAGTTGGGCTGCTAACTGCAAGGTTAGCAGTTCGAAACCACCGGCCCCTTGGAGGGAGAAAGATGAGGCGGTCTACTCCGGTGAAGAGTTAGTCTTGGAAGCTCACGGGGTCAGTTCTCCCCTGTGCTACAGGGTCACTGTGAGTCAACATAGGTGACAGTAAGTTTGGTTTGGGTTTATTCATGATTAAAATTGAGGAACACCTTGGGAGTGGCTGACTGAACCAAAGGACTGAGGGGATTGGTTCTGGCTCCTCTAAGCAAATCCTCACCCAAGGGCTTGCCAGCTGAAAGGTTGGTGCTTCAAGCCCACCTGGAGAGAGGTGGGCCTTGAAAGCCCCAGGAGCAGTTCTGCTCTGTACACCTGGGGTTGCCCTACATATTCAGGTGTGCCAAACTCACAGGGACCTCAATCACGTTTCTGTTCAATGTGGACCCTGCCTCTCACAGCCTTTGGTTCCCTCTTGGTGAGGCTCTGGGTTCCTGTGCTAGAGGTAGAACCCCAGCTGTTAGTGCTGTGGCAGCTGGGTTCTTGTGCTTCCCCCTCGTTGATGCTGACGGGTTTACAGAGTCTTCCAAGAGGAGAGATGGCTTATAAACGGGATCTTAATGAATGAGGTGAACCTGTGATGGACAGAGTATTGGGCAGGGCGTTTCACAGGTGGAAACGGTTGTGGGAGATGAGACGCGCGTTTAGTTCCTGATAATACCAAAACCAGACTCTGCCATCTCGTCAATGCTGACTCAGAGCGACCCTAGAGTGTAGAACTGCCCCTGTGAGTTTCCCAGACTGTAACATAATGGGAGTAGAAAGCCCCGACTTGCTCCTTCAGAGCAGCTGGGGGTCTCAAACTGCTGACTTTGCCGTAAACAGCCCACCGAGTCGGCACTGTGCCACCAGGCCTGATAATAGCGGGTCTAGATTACTTTGTTAAATTCATCAAATATGTATTGAGCGTTTACTTTTGTACGTGACTTAGGTGCTGGGGTTATAACAGAGAACAAGCTAGTTAGCAAGTGATGTCCCCACTTCTCATGAGCTATTTTATGAGTGCCCCTGACTCCTTAGGTTGGCCAAATCTTTTGAAGGTTTTTTGGGGGCAGGAGAAGCATGAGCCCACCTGTCCTCCTTTGAAAATCAATTTGGGAGGTAGTATGGTGGGAGGAATGGAGATGGGGAAACCTTGTTCAGAGACTGTAATGATGGTCCAGTACTGGGAGAACTTTAAAAAAGGGAATGGCAGTGGAAATCTCTGGAGTTTGTCGGGATACGGAAGTGAAGGCTTTGGCACAAATCAAGCATGTTGAGTGTGGAAGATCTTAGCTGGGTGGTGCATTTCCCAGCATACAAGAGCATAAGAGTGTAGGCTTGAGCCAAGAGGAGTGAATGATAAGTTTATGGGTGGTCGTCCACTGTCTAACCCATGATGCCCCGGTGCTCCTTAGATAAGTAGCAAAGTGAGGCACAATTCAATGAAAAGGCAACGAGGTCACTGCATGCGGTTGAATAAGCAGGTCTTCTGTTTGTCAGACCGTTGCCATCTTCCACAGACCACTCTACCTGCTCTGGAACGGCCAGAGCATAAGCATAAGCAGGTCTTCTGTTTGT